CATCAGGGCACTCTCTACGATCAGATATTGCATATCGAATAATCTTAATGATACTGCCGACCGCTTTACTAATTACACGAATACACTGAGTAGGATTGAGTGAAGTTTTTGTATAATCCTTCAGTTTGAGGTACACCAATGTGAATAGTTTTTAAGTGGATAATTATAAGTTTATATATTTCGATGAGTTTGTGAAAATCTTATTCATGTTTGGTAAAATTAGTGCGTTGTTCATTTGGATGAAGTAACTTGTACGATACTCTAAGTAGATGCGTTTCTTGTGCCGTACCAACATTGATTCCGTATCAAAATTGATCTATTGCAGTCAAAAAATCATAACCCAAAAGTTTAAAAAGAACCTTTCGTGATTGGTCGTTTAAAAAATTATTTTAGCAATAACTATCAATTTTTGAATAGTTAAAACTCGTGAGTAATTTTTGGTTTCTGCGGATGAAACATTTTTCATCGAGTTTAAGTATTTATTAAATATAATATACAAGATAATTCGAATAATAATTTTTGAAATTATTGATGATGCAAAAGAATTTAAAATCCATCAAGTGTTCAGATTTAAATGTCAAGACTTGCTCAACTTTGCTTTTATAGTTATTTGAATTAATAGCGTACCTTTGTAATGAACTGATTTAAAATTTAAAGTTTTTGAAGATATTAGTTTGTTCTTGAATAATATCAATTACATATCTGCCACTATATAACAAGTTGACAGTGTTTAAGTAATATTATATCTTTATTAAGATTTCAGGTTGGTTTGGTGATGAAATAATCTTAAGAAAAATAATATAAGACATTTCAATCAAGGATTAGTAATTTATTTTTATTAAAAATAATAAAACATCAAATAATTAATAAGGGATTTCCTTCACTAATAGAAGCATTTATTATATAAACATATCTGTGTAATATTCACAATATGATAAATTTTGCAATTATAAATTTATAATTAATATTTATTTTATTTTATTAGAATGGCAATTATGTAGTAAAATAATTTTATGATTAATTAATGTTAATTATTAATATGAATTCAAAATTTGACAAATAAGTCATTCCAGAAATGTTTGGGAATTTTATTATTGGCTAATTAGATAGTTATGAAATTTATTGCAATTATGTATATGATTATTTGTAAACTTTGTGAAATCATGAAATTTATTGGTAATTTGGCTTTAGTCATCACATTTTGATTATTTCAATATATTGCAATATGCAGCAATTACTGAAATGTAATTGTTTAGTTATTAATTATAATATTTGGTTATTAAAATTATTTAATATTGATATATTAAGTGAAGAAAAATAAAATATTATTTTGACTATTTTTAATTGACAAATTAGCAAAAATAAAATATTAAATTTAAACCTCGTATGCATTTTTAGCTACATTATAAGAAATACATTTATAGTTTTTTTAATATGTTATGATTAGTTCACATTCAATATTGTCGGAATTATTTCTTTTGTAATTAGATTTAATTATAAGTTTTTTCTTAAGTTAGATATTTTATATATTATGATCATTCGGTAAATAAGAGACATCAGAACATTATATTTGTAATTAACACTATAATGTAAGAGGTAGTATTTTTTTAAAAACTATATTTTTATAAATTATGCGATGCATTGGAATTTTATAACAAATATTTTGCTAACTTTCTATTTTTCGAGTTCACAGAAAATAATGTGAAAATTTTAACATTCTTATTCGTAAGAAATAATGAAGATATACAGTACATATATTTTAATTAATTTTTTATGTTATTTTTAAGAATGAAGCCAATATGCGCTTAGAGATGTGACTGCATTATGACTAAAAAATTTGGAATATTTTTAAAAGTTGTATTTGTCTGATGTATATATATGCTAGTGATAAAATGCACATGATATTGTAACATAGTGCCTATTACATATAAACTGCCTATTTAATATAGTGTTTGGCTATATATTTTTTGATCATCAAATACAATATTGAAGGCATTCGCAAAGTGCACAAAGAAAAAAGAACAATTAATTTTGAATATATGAATATTTTGAACTAATTTTTAAATTTCTGACGTTTATCTATCGTAACATAATAAAATCAATTTCTTTCTACAAAAATAATTATTTATATAATTATACATAAAATTTCTAATAATCAAAAACATGTATTTCTCAAAATAAATATGAATATAATAACCTGATATAAACATGATAAATAATGAATGTGGGTTTAAAGATATATTTTCTACATTCACTATAAAAAAATTTGGCATAAGAATATATTATCAAAGTCTAATATAGTATCATTCAGAATATGTATGCATTTTAGTGTAAATTTACATCATAACAATCCAATATATATCATGTATTTAACCAATATATACTGTGATATTTAATTGTAATACATTTTGAAATAAACATTTTGTATTATGTTTTGAATTTATGAAAATGTTTGATTGCAAACGATATTGTTATTATTATGGATTACTTTCATATTTTTTATGTAGGAGTAAAAGAACAATTGTATGACGTCAGGTATATGACGTTCAACAGCACCATAAACATCCGCTGGAGCAAAATAAATTTGTCAATATATGATCAAATAAAAATCAATTTTATTAAAAATTCACCACCTACCGTGGTTGACCAATTCTGTGATGTGTTTCCTTGTAACATTGGCGACCCACTGTTATTTTTATTTATTCTATTTGTAAAATTTATAGACATGATATCCGAGTCGTAGAACATTTTGGCAATCGCGTTGAAGCGCTGCCTTGGCTGGATCATGAGGGAAATGTAAATCCTGGTGTCGAAATCTAGATGGTAGGCAGGATTCTTGGCCTGGAGGAATAAATAGTAATAAAAATATAAGTAATATTAACAACGTTTGAATGTATTCAACCTTTAGTGAAGCTATAATTTTTCCTGCACGTTCCCAGTTGCTCTGGTAACTTATATATACCAATAACTTTATAATGTTTGTGATGTGTATGTGTGTATATTTCGACATATATCTAGTATGGTATTTTCTCATTTCTAAAAATAAATTTTTAAATTATCTATATTTTGAAAATTGGTTTTATTTTATTATGAACACCATTTAAGCTGTTTGAAGAATATTTTTATAATTAACAATCGTATACATAATTTTGAATTGTGTAGTTTATTATATTATGATCGCAGTAAATTTAGATTTGAAACTTGTTTGATAAATGAAAATTTTGTTTAAAGTTTTGTTTCATTGTAAAACTTATACTAACTGATCAAATCAATATGTAATCACATAAATTACTGTACTAATTTTTTTATAAATTAGTTTAAAGTAGTTATAAAATAATTAATTATTGAAATACTCTTGTAAAAATTGTGATGATCAATTAAAATAATCATAAAATGTAAAAAGTAGTATTTATTATATGTTATTCATTTAATTGTTTTTCAACTTTGCAAAGGAGTGGTTTGTTTTCACTAGATAGTTGAAATTGCTTTTTTGTGTTTTCTCACAGAATGTCATTTAATTTTGATCATTTAAAATAAACGAAATTTAAAGAAAAATGTAATATTAAACATTTTTTTAATTAATTTATATTTTTCTTTTGACCTTGGTTTGATTTTTTATATTTCAAAATATTTCACCAATTCTACTCTCAATAAGTACACAGTAAGACTCTTTTGCGCTAACTTTGTTAGTTTACAAATGTTTTGTGGCTAGTTTGTATCATCATTAGTAATTTTATTGTAAACTAATAAGTTAAAACTTGAAAAAATTGTATGTTTGTATTTATATAATATTTAATGGCTTCACGTGTTGCAGGAATGTAGAACTAAATTTTTTATCAGAATTTAAAAGCAATTCAACTAAACTATTATGATTTTATTAGAAAATTGCTTTTGTTAATAAATTTCAAAATTATTCATGTATATGAGTGATATATAAATAAAACAGTAAAAATTTGTCTGTATATTTAAAAATGTAAAAATATTTAACAAATTTTATACCTGAGAAAGGAAATGCAAACAAGTGTACTGTAGAACACAGGTTAGTGGAAGAAAATAAAATTCTACACCAAATTTATTTATTTCAATAACCAACGACTAATTCATTGCAGTGTAAATTTTTAGAGAGTTTACTAAAAGAATGTAATATCGTTATTTAATTTATAAAACCCTTAATGTTAAAATTGAAGATTCAAATAAACGTCGTTTCGATTTCAAAACAGAAGAGGCGTTCGAGTTTCTGAAACGCCATCTTCGACCGAGCGAACGTGCACGCTTTGCAGTCGCACGTCTACAGGTCTTTTGCACATCTATGCTTTGCGACTCTAGGAGTTGGGAGAGGCAGTTGTCATTGCGAGTGAGAGTTCATTTCCATCGTGGCGATTGCTGGAAGAAGACAACGGGACGTCGTCGAACACGGACGAACGGGCCTGACCCTTCGCTGCCTGTGGAAACATGCGACCTGCGAGCGTCACCTGGTACGTTGCACTTGTGCTGATTATATTTCTCTTTAGGTTTTAAGATGTTTTAGATTTAATCGAGACCTTTACTCATTTCTGTTTTTTTTTTTGGAAAACGTGTGCTCGATTTATATAGTTTTTGCTCAAGTCGTACTACTGTCTAAGACGTACGCCGGATATATTTTATCTAATCATTTTATTTTGCATCATTTGGTGAACACTGTTAAATAAAACTACATATTATTTTGTTGACTGAGCAAGACTTCACAATTGAATGGCTGGCGGTCATTGTGCAGAAGAAATAATCGAAAGTAATAGTAAAAAGTTGTGAAAGTAAAAAATAATGACTGTTAATTCATTATGAGAATTATTGTGAGTACATTTATACGGATCGTTTAATTTGAAGTCTTATTTACATCTTTATCATCTGCTAATTCACTTCAATTTATAGATCAGAAGTATTGTGTAAATTGGACCACAATCATCATGTCATCAAGAATTTTAAAGCAAAATTACTTTTCCATGAAAGCCATTTTTGTTTTAAATGCATAATTTTATTTCTTTTACTTGAAAAAAAGTTACAAATTGACAAAGAATAGTTACAATTTGAATGAATATAAAGATGCAAACGAAGACTATTCTGTGCTGGAGCGCTGCATTGCACACGAAGACAGCTTTGGTGACGCATCAACAATGACATTTAATAATGTATGTATAATCAACTAAATTCAATAATAATTTGTGTATTTTGCAGGTGCCGGGTAGGTTTGCGTTTGCTGCGTTTTTATACGAAAATTGTTACTGTGACGCTCTGAATGTGGTATTTATTGGAATTGCATTTGGCACGAATAGATTTATTAAGCGGTGATTTTGTTCAAGATATTAATTGATCAATATTATAGTTGTCACTATAACTTTTAGAAATTTACAAAATCATTAAGGCATTGAATTTCATGATTCGAATGATCACGATATGTCTTGCATGTGGGTTAATTTATTAGTTAGGTAGCATCAGTAGTTTTATTATTAATAATAACAAATACTAATACACTAATCTATTCAATTATTGAAAAATAATGTGGTCATTTGAATCATTTGAGATTATGCAATGTGGATTTGACATATTACATTAAATTTTAATTTTCACTGTTTTCAATTCATGTTAATGCATTTCATAAAAACCAAGTGCAATTCTTAAACTGCTAGTAAATTTCTACATTCTATTTCTGGTCATCAAGATGAAATCACATGGAGGCCACAAGATACCATATCAAGCAAATTGTTGAGTATCGAATGGCCAAGTATCGAGTGAAAATTCAACACTGACTCACTTCACCGGGAAACGCTCTGAAAATAATTTAAAAAGTACGTTTTTATCCATAATCAGTATAAATGTAAACAATAAATAACATGTTTATTTTTTTCCAGGTCCTTTCAACCATTGCTGCTCTGTACACTGACCCCTTCACCAGGAATCGCTCTGAAAATAATTTAAAAAGTACGCTGTTATCCATAATCAGTATAAATGTAAACAATAAATAACATGTTTATTTTTTTTCAGGTCCTTTCAAATACTGCTGCTCTGTACACTGACCCCTTCACCAGGAATCGCTCTGAAAATAATTTAAAAAGTACGTTTTTATCCATAATCAATATAAATGTGAACAATAAATAACATGTTTATTTTTTTTTCAGGTCCTTTCAACTACTGCTGTTCTGCACACTGACCCCTTCACCAGGAATCGCTCTGAAAATAATTTAAAAAGTACGTTTTTATCCATAATCAATATAAATGTGAACAATAAATAACATGTTTATTTTTTTTCAGGTCCTTTCAACTACTGCTGTTCTGCACACTGACCCCTTCACCAGGAATCGCTCTGAAAATAATTTAAAAAGTACGTTTTTATCCATAATCAATATAAATGTGAACAATAAATAACATGTTATTTTTTTTCAGGTCCTTTCAACTACTGCTGTTCTGCACACTGACCCCTTCACCAGGAATCGCTCTGAAAATAATTTAAAAAGTACGTTTTTATCCATAATCAGTATAAATGTGAACAATAAATAACATGTTTATTTTTTTCCAGGTCCTTTCAACTACTGCTGTTCTGCACACTGACCCCTTCACCAGGAATCGCTCTGAAAATAATTTAAAAAGTACGTTTTTATCCATAATCAGTATAAATGTGAACAATAAATAACATGTTTATTTTTTTTTCAGGTCCTTTCAACTACTGCTGTTCTGCACACTGACCCTTCACCAGGAATCGCTCTGAAAATAATTTAAAAAGTACGTTTTATCCATAATCAATATGAATGTGAACAATAAATAACAGTTTATTTTTTTGTTTCAGGTCCTTTCAACTACTTTGCTCTGCACTTTGACTCCTTCACCAGGAATCCTTCCTGAAACATTTACCAAGTATGTGGATTTTATCCATAATCAGTATAAATGTGAACAATAAATAACATGTTTATTTTTTTTCCAGGTCCTTTCAACCACTGCTACTCTGCACACAGACCCCTTCACCAAGAATCTTTCCAGAAACATTTTACCAGGTATGTGTTCATCCATATTAGTATAAATGCGAACATTCCTATAATGTTTCTTTCTTTTTTTGCAGATCTTCTCGATCCAACTATTACTGAAGCCTCAAATTCAGGAAGCTTCCAGCTCCTGAACACTCATTCAGTGAAGGCTCGCAAGTGGTTTTTTTTCAATGACTGTTCTATAATTATGCATGATTAACTTAACTCTTATTAACTCAATAACATGACTAACCTAACTAACTTAATTATGCAGTTATTATAAAACCACTTGTTGAGATTTACTATGAAGGTCTTAATGGGGTTACGTGGAAGACACCGCTCCATGATTAATCAGGTAATTTATTCTTTATAGTATATTTATGTGACTGTGTTACTAATTCATTGTTTTCGTTTATAGGGTAAACACTTCAAGCCAAGTGCTCTTCAACGCTCAAGTTGCTCATGAGTGAGAACAATCATTTGATCTACT